CGTTGGCAACCGTGAGTTCCAACCTTTGGGAACCGGCAGTTCCTTGCCATGAACCAAACGCAAACATTCCGGTACCGGTCCATTAATCAAAACAAAGCGTTCTGTACCGGTCCATTAAGCAAAACCATGAAGTTGTAAAGAAAATGTTTTCATATCATTTTGACATGCACCTTTTCGTGCAAAAACATTTTTATGCCGGCCCAGCAGCCAAACGCAAACATTCCGCTACCGGTCCATTAAGCAAACAAAAGGTTCTGTTACCGGCTCAGTAAATAAAACAAAACAACATCAAGAACCATGAGTTTTAACTTTTTGGAATCAACAGATCCTTCCACTGGTAACGTATGCTTTTTCAGGTTTGGAACCATGAGTTTCAAGCTTTCGGAACCCGCAGTTCCTTACAATGATAGCCGCTTAGCTTCGAAAACATAAATTCTAACTTCTGGGAACCGGCAATTCGTTGCAATGGTAACCTCTGGTTCCCAAGTTGGGAAGCATGAGTTTCAAGGTGTGGGAGCCGGCAGTTCCTTGCCATGGTAACCTTTGGTTCCCACGTTGGGAACCATGAGTTCCAACCTTTAGGAACCGGAAGTTCTTTGCAATGGTTACCTGTGGTTCCCAGGTTGGGAAGCATGAGTTCCAACCTCTGGTAACCGGCAGTTGCTTGCAAAGGTAGCCTCTGGTTCCCAGGTTGGGAACCATGACTTCTAACCTGTGGGAACCGGCAGTTCCTTGCAATGGTAACCTGTGGTTCCCACGTTGGCAACCGGGAGTTCCAACCTTTTGAAACCGGCACTTCCTTGCCATGAACCAAACGCAAACATTCCGGTACCGGTCCATTAAGCAAAACAAAGCGTTCTGTACCGGTCCATTAAGCAAAACCATAAAGTTGTAAAGAAAATGTTTTCATATCATTTTGACATGCACTTTTTTCGTGCAAAAACATCTTTATGCCGGCCCATCAGCCAAACGCAAACATTCAGCTACCGGTCCATTAAGCAAAGCAAAAAGTTCTGTTACCGGCTCAGTAAACAAAACAAAACAACATTAAGCACCATGAGTTCTAACTTTTTGGAATCAACAGATCCTTCCACTTTCAGGTTTGGAACCATGAGTTTCAAGCTTTGGGAATCCGCAGTTCCTTTCAATGATAGCCGCTTAGCTTCGAAAACATAAGTTCTAACCTCTGGGAACCGGCAATTCGTTTCAATGGTAACCTCTGGTTCCCAGGTTGGGAACCGTAAGTTTCAAGGTCTGGGAACCGGCAGTTCATGGTAACCTATGGTTCCCAGGTTGGGAAGCATGAGTTCCAACCTCTGGTAACCGGCAGTTGCTTGCAATGGTAACCCATGGTTCCCAGGTTGGGAACCAGGAGTTCCAACCTGTGGGAACCGGCAGTTCCTTGCAATGGTAACCTGTGGTTCCCACGTTGGCAACCGTGAGTTCCAACCTTTTGAAACCGGCAGTTCCTTGCCATGAACCAAACGCAAACATTCCGGTACCGGCCCATTAAGCAAAACAAAGCGTTCTGTACCGGTCCATTAAGCAAAACCATAAAGTTGTAAAGAAAATGTCTTCATATCATTTTAACATGCACCTTTTTCGTGCAAAAACATTTTTTTGCCGGCCCATCAGCCAAACGCAAACATTCCGCTACCGGTCCATTAAGCAAAACAAAAGGTTCTGTTACCGGCTCAGTAAACAAAACAAAACAACATTAAGAACCATGAGTTCTACCTTTTGGGAATCAACAGTTCCTTCCACTGGTAACGTATGCTTTTTCAGGTTTGGAACCATGAGTTTCAAGCTTTCGCAACCCGCAGTTCCTTACAATGATGGCCGCTTAGCTTCGAAAACATAAGTTCTAACCTCTGGGAACCGGCAATTCGTTGCAATGGTAACCTCTGGTTCCCAGGTTGGGAAGCATGAGTTTCAAGGTGTGGGAGCCGGCAGTTCCTTGCAATGGTAACCTTTGGTTACGGGGTTGGCAGCCATGAGTTCCAAATTTCAGGATTTGGTAATTGCTGGAAATGGAAATCTATGGTTGCCACGTTGGGAACCATGAGTTTCAATTTCGTGGAAGCGGCAATTTCTGCAATCGTAGTCCGTTAATGGTTTTGTTCAGTGGCAAGCGAGGAGAACCTAGTCATATGAAAACATCAAAGCGTGATGAAAATAGGAACCTAGTCATATGGAGGCGTGTGCGTTTACCAAGGACTGCCGCGTGTTACAGATAAGCAAATTGATGCCGGCCCATTAAGCAAAACAAAAGGCTGTAAAGAACATGTTTTCATATCATTCTAACATTAAGCCAAACAAAGCGTTCTGTTACCGGCCCATTACGCAAAACCAAGCAATACCGATGCATGAAAGTTGCCAGACTTGCTTGAATCGTTGGGAACCAGGATTGCCTTCAAATGCGATTTCAAGGTTCCAAGGTTGGAAATCGTGGGCGGCAAGGAAAAACACTTTTTTTTTGACGCAACCTCTGTGATGTCAATCCGACACGCAAATCTTTGAGTCCAAACGCATCATCATTTTGATCATTCAGCAAGACAAAACAAAACGCGTTTTCAAAAAATATTTGCTCATGTCAATTGAGCAGATGCTGTGAAATTTGCTTGTCGAGACATCCGCTATATCACTGACCCATTGACGCGGCATGAAAAAACGTTTCTGAAATCTTTTCTATCTGGGGTCTATGCCGGTGTAATTTCTGGAAAAATCGTGCTTGTCTGCCGTCCCAAAAAAAAAAATCAGATCGCTTATTAAACCCTGATTAAAGAATAGTTTTTCCACAAATTTCCAAGGCACTGGGCCATGAGAGGGTCCAATTCACTTTAGTATGTTTTTCTCAGGGTTCATAATTTATAATAATTGCAGCAAATTTTTCCAGAGCTGATCCTGGAGCCAAGAGAAGAAAGGTAGGCCTCTTCCCAAAGCAATCGCCGAATTCAAAGCTCAAGCCTTTCCCCAAAGAATCAGACCGCTTATTAAACCCTGGTTAATGAACATTTTTTACACAAATTTCCAAGGCACTGGGCCACGAGAGGGTCCAATTCACTTAGTAGGTTTGTTCTCAGGGTGCACAATTGCAGTGCACTTTTCCAGAGCTGATCCTGGGGCCGAGAGAAGAAAGGTAGGCCTCTTCCAAAAGCAATTGCCAAATTCAAAGCCCAAGCCTTTCCCAAAAGAACCAGACCGCTTATTAAACCCTGGCTAATGAAAAGCGGAGAAGTAGGAAAGCAGAGAAGCAAGAAAAGCAGGAAAAGCAGAGAAGCAAAGAAACAGGAAAAGCAGAAAAGCAGAGAAGCAGGAGAAGCAGAAAAGCAAAACAGCAGAAAAGCAGAAAAGCAGGAGAAGCAGAAAAGCAAAAAAGCAGAAAAGCAGCGAAGCAGGAAAAGCAGGAACAGCAGAGAAGCAGGCATCCAAAAAAAAATCCTAAACCTGATCAAAACAAAAATCCTAAAATAATTAGCCCTCCTTTTTAAATTGTATTCGGAAGGAAAGTAATTAAAGACCAAATTAATTAATGAAATTCACAAAACCAATAGTCCGGGGTAACTGTTACCAGTAGTACTGCACAAGGCGGCGGCGGAAGTTTCAAAAATAGGAAACCTATAGGAGAGGTTGGTTGTTGTGAGTCACGGATGACAGAGCGAAGTCATTGATGGACCGACAGGTGGTTGAGGTCGCCTCTCTTTCTCCCTTTCTTTCTCTCTTTCTCTGATTATCTATCTGTCTATCTGTCTATCTGTCTATCTGTCTATCTCTCTATCTCTCTATCTATCTATCTATCTATCTCTCTATCTATCTATCTATCTATCTCTCTCTCTCTCTCTCTCTCTGCTCTGTCTGTCTGTCTGTCTATCTATCTGCAAGCTTGAAAACGAAGCTATTCTGCGAGGCTTCCTCAATTTTTGAACTTAACAACGTCAAAAACGAAACAATTCTGCGAGACTTCCTCAATTTTTGAACTTAACAACGTCAAAAACGAAACATTTCTGCGAGACTTCTTCAATTTTGAACTTGACAACATCAAAAACAAAGCAAGTCTACGAGACTTCCTTCAAAAATGGAAAGTTGAGTGCAGCGCTGACAGCCTCGTACCAATCCGTTTTGCAATTTTTCCACTCCACCTGTCTAGAGTCTAAAGTACTGCGCCTGCCACGAAAAATTGATGCCAGGTCATACGAAGTGCTGCACCTGTCACAAATAATCATCTTAGCAAACCTGCAGATCTGATGCTCCAAAATGCAACCCCTCTCAGGAAATCAGCGCCCTCACCTCCTAACAGCTCCAATGTCTCTTGTACTGCGCCTGCCACGGAAAATGCATCTTTGCAGATCCTCTTCGAATGTCCCACGCCTGCCATCGTTTTTGGAAATGCTACAAAAGTTTTGCTCACTTTTGACAAGGTGCACAATCCCTTGCGCCTGCCTCGCGAACCGATCCAAAAGTGGGTCCGTACATGGTGTGCTTTGTACATTTTGACTTCGAAATGTGCTTCGCGCCACAACGGCGTGCACTTTTTCGACATCTCAACTTCCAAAAGTGATCCGAGAATGGTGTGTTTTGTACATTTTGACTTGGAAACGTGCTTCGCGCCACAACGGCGTGCAATTTTTCATCTTTCCAGCTGGCTCCGCACCCGCCGCTTTAGCGAGCCTACTTTTCGACTCTCCGGAGCCACAAATCATTGGAAAAACACAGTGTTTCGCGACTTTCCCACCTTTTCGCACACCTGCATCTTCTTTCTTCTGACTCTTTCTCTTCTCTGATCTTCTCTCTTCTCCTCTTCTCTTCTCTCTGACTCTGCCCATCTCTGCTTGTCATCTATCCATATTGTCGGAAGTTTGACTTCTAAACGACTTCTAAACTTCCTTCGATTATTTATTGAGGGTTAATAGGAAGAAGGGATTATACATGTTTATATTTACTTATTCAGATATTATTTGTGAACGGATCTTGTCTCGTCAGAAATCGTGCCTTCATTTTCGTCACATGTTGTCATATTTTCTCTGCCATGGTTTGTTCCACATGATGTTCTCCGGACGTCGTGGGCCGCCGCAACCAAGCGCATAATACCACTCGCAGTACACGTCGTACTTGTTCGGGCCAACTTTGCAGGGTGAAGCCTTCTGGGGATAGGTACACCCACGCGAGGGCCTTACAGGACAACTGCTGCCCCAGGGATTTTCGTAGACCTTGTCCCCAACAGGCCTGTAGCAGCAGCATTTTTTTCCAAAAGTCACGTTGGAATCAGATTCCAAGAGATCTGCGCTGAGGTCTGCATTGTGCACTTCATGCGCATGATCTGCTCGAAGGCAGTAGCCAGACTGCATCAATGTCATGACCAGAAAGGCTCTGCGAATCGCCATCAGGGCCTGTTCAACCGGAAGGTTTTGCAGAAGAACGGGCGTCTGCTTTCAACTTGAGGAAAGGCGGCTCATGAACCAGCGGAAAATCTGCCTGTCTGTGTGACTTATGTGTGGGACACGTTTCATGCTAGCGCTGAGCTCAGCATGATGGTACAGACCGCAACTCCAGACTCGTCAACTCTTTTCTTCCGAGGCTCTCATCGCAGAGTTTGTCTTTGCGGATATCCCGTTCTTCAGATCCCCTCCTCTCTTCCACTTTTCATGGTGTCCGTTTCCCATAGTGTTTTGTCGGGTTGTTTCTCTGTTTGTTGGGTCTGCGTGGCTTGCCCCACAGAGCCAAGTGCAAAGAAAGCTATGGACACGATACATATCGAAACATCAAAGTATGGCAAACCACTACAAAGACACTCAATGGGGAAAAAGCACTCTCCAATTCCGATCGGAACATCTCTAAATTCGACCATTTGGATCCATTTAAATTTGGACACTACAAAAAAGGAGTCGGGATTTCCATGGATCTGAGGCATCTCTTGCTCACTCTGTCACGACTTGCATGACTGAGTCAATGTCCCACCTTGGTCACTGGGCTGGAAAGTAGGAAATAGATGGACATAGACGGAAATAGATGGAAATAGAAGGAAGTAGATGGACATAGATGAACATAGATGGAAATATATAGATGGAAATAGATGGAAGTAGATGTACATAGATGGACATAGATGGAAATAGATGGAAATAGAAGGAAGTAGATGGACATAGATGGACATAGACGGAAATAGAAGGAAGTAGATGGACATAGATGGACATAGATGGAAATATATAGATGGAAATAGAAGGAAGTATAGATGTACATAGATGGACATAGATGGAAGTAGATGGAAATGGATGGAAATGGATGTAAACGAATGGAAATAGATGAAAACAGATGGAAATAGATGTAAATCGATGGGAGCCGATAGAAATGCATGGAAATATGGAAATAGATGGAAATGGAAATCGACTCGCTTCAATGAATCACAAGCAGCCTTTGACAGTCTTGGGCTGCACCATCAGCACCTCACGACCACTTAGCCTCTCACTCACCATAGTACGTTTTCTTCTTTCCTTTGCGATATCTTCTCACGAAGGGAAGATTACCAACCTGCACTGGGACATCATCCGGTAACACAGCTGCAAACTCGCATCATGAAGATAAAGCATCACAATTCAATCGTAATTACAATAACACCATGATCAATTTAAGATATAACTTAACTCACGCCCTAGCCGTAGACGATAAAGGTGCTTCTAGGCGCGTCCAGAACATGTTTCAGATGGTTTTGGTCGGGCTGCTCTGGCACACGAATTGACACCATTTCCCGATGGAAATTGTTGTTTACTCTTACAATATCTTACAATTGGAGTATATTGGAATCCATGGTCGAAATCATGGAAACCATCACCTTGCCATGACATAGTCTCCCACCTTTTCGCGTTTGCAAAGATCGGCCTTGCAGCGTCAATGGCAACACACTGTCATCACCAAATCTGAGCCTGACTCAAGCAAACTGCCAAAGCACATCAGTGACTTGCAAATGCTTTTATGTTGTATCCTGATTAGTGGCTAGGTTCGCTATTGTGCCAAAAAAACAAATTATTCAGGGCTCCGACAATTTTTGGAAGGTTCACTGTTGTGGCAAGAAATCTTGGGAGACCATTTTTTTGAACAAAATGTTTGAGTGAAAAAACATTGCATTTTTTCTGGAAAAATCGTGCTTGTCTGCCGTCCCAAAAAAAAAATCAGATCGCTTATTAAACCCTGATTAAAGAATAGTTTTTCCACAAATTTCCAAGGCACTGGGCCATGAGAGGGTCCAATTCACTTTAGTATGTTTTTCTCAGGGTTCATAATTTATAATAATTGCAGCAAATTTTTCCAGAGCTGATCCTGGAGCCAAGAGAAGAAAGGCAGGCCTCTTCCCAAAGCAATCGCCGAATTCAAAGCTCAAGCCTTTCCCCAAAGAATCAGACCGCTTATTAAACCCTGGTTAATGAACATTTTTTACACAAATTTCCAAGGCACTGGGCCACGAGAGGGTCCAATTCACTTAGTAGGTTTGTTCTCAGGGTGCACAATTGCAGTGCACTTTTCCAGAGCTGATCCTGGGGCCGAGAGAAGAAAGGTAGGCCTCTTCCAAAAGCAATTGCCAAATTCAAAGCCCAAGCCTTTCCCAAAAGAACCAGACCGCTTATTAAACCCTGGCTAATGAAAAGCGGAGAAGTAGGAAAGCAGAGAAGCAAGAAAAGCAGGAAAAGCAGAGAAGCAAAGAAACAGGAAAAGCAGAAAAGCAGAAAAGCAGAGAAGCAGGAGAAGCAGAAAAGCAAAACAGCAGAAAAGCAGAAAAGCAGGAGAAGCAGAAAAGCAAAAAAGCAGAAAAGCAGCGAAGCAGGAAAAGCAGGAACAGCAGAGAAGCAGGCATCCAAAAGAAAAATCCTAAACCTGATCAAAACAAAAATCCTAAAATAATTAGCCCTCCTTTTTAAATTGTATTCGGAAGGAAATTAATTAAAGACCAAATTAATTAATGAAATTCACAAAACCAATAGTCCGGGGTAACTGTTACCAGTAGTACTGCACAAGGCGGCGGCGGAAGTTTCAAAAATAGGAAACCTATAGGAGAGGTTGGTTGTTGTGAGTCACGGATGACAGAGCGAAGTCATTGATGGACTGACAGGTGGTTGAGGTCGCCTCTCTTTCTCCCTTTCTTTCTCTCTTTCTCTGATTATCTATCTGTCTATCTGTCTATCTGTCTATCTGTCTATCTCTCTATCTATCTATCTATCTATCTCTCTCTCTCTCTCTCTCAGCTCTGTCTGTCTGTCTGTCTGTCTATCTATCTGCAAGCTTGAAAACGAAGCTATTCTGCGAGGCTTCCTCAATTGAACTTAACAACGTCAAAACCGAAACAGTTCTGCGAGACTTCCTCAATTTTTGAACTTAACAACGTCAAAAACGAAACATTTCTGCGAGACTTCTTCAATTTTGAACTTGACAACATCAAAAACAAAGCAAGTCTACGAGACTTCCTTCAAAAATGGAAAGTTGAGTGCAGCGCTGACAGCCTCGTACCAATCCGTTTTGCAATTTTTCCACTCCACCTGTCTAGAGTCTAAAGTACTGCGCCTGCCACGAAAAATTAATGCCAGGTCATACGAAGTGCTGCACCTGTCACAAATAATCATCTTAGCAAACCTGCAGATCTGATGCTCCAAAATGCAACCCCTCTCAGGAAATCAGCGCCCGGACCTCCTAACAGCTCTGATGAACATGTTTCTTGTACGCCTGCCACGGAAAATGCATCTTTGCAGATCCTCTTCCAATGCCCCACGCCTGCCATAGTTTGTGGACATGCTACAAAACCCTCACGTTTTGCTCACTTTTGAGAAGGTGCACAATCCCTTGCGCCTGCCTCGCGAAGCGATCTAAAAGTGGGTCCGTACATGGTGTGCTTTGTACATTTTGACTTCGAAATGTGCTTCCCGCCACAACGGCGTGCACTTTTTCGACATCTCAACTTCCAAACTTGCTCGGACACTGAGGTGTTTTGTACATGTTGCACATTTTGTACTTCCAAAAACGAATGGTGTGTTTTGTACATTTTGACTTGGAAATGTGCTTCGCGCCACAACGGCGTGCAATTTTTCATCTTTCCAGCTGGCTCCGCACCCGCCGCTTTAGCGAGCCTACTTTTCGACTCTCCGGAGCCACAAATCATTGGAAAAACACAGTGTTTGGCGACTTTCCTGGCCAGATGAGAGAGATGAAAAATTGCACGCCGTTGTGGCGCGAAGCACATTTCCAAGTCAAAATGTTAAAAACACCAGGGGTTCGGACCACTTTTGGAAGTTATGATGTCGAAAAAGTGCACGCCGTTGTGGCGCGAAGCACATTTCCAAGTCAAAATGTACAAAACACCTCAGCGTCGGACCACTTTTGAAAGTTGCGATGTCGAAAAAGTGCACGCCGTTGTGGCACGAAGCACATTTCCAAGTCAAAATGTTAAAAACACCAGGGGTTCGGACCACTTTTGGAAGTTATGATGTCGAAAAAGTGCACGCCGTTGTGGCGCGAAGCACATTTCCAAGTCAAAAGTGTTAAAAACTGACGGTCTCGGACCACTTTTTGAAGTTCAGATGTCGAAAAAGTGCACGCCGTTGTGGCGCGAAGCACATGTCGAAGTGAAAACGTACAAAACACTAGGGGTTCGGACCACTTTTGGAGGTTCAGATGTGCTTCCCTTCGCTTCGCTTAACTACACTACACTACATTACACTCCACTGCACTACATTACACTACACTACACTCCACAACACTACAACTACAACTACACAACTACACAACTGCACTCCACTACACTCCACTACACTCCACTACACTAAATTACACTCCACTACACTACATTACACTACACTTCATTACATTACACTACACTACACTCCACTACACTACAACTACAACTACACAACTACACTCCACTACACTCCACTACACTAAATTACACTACACTACATTACACTACACTACACTCCACTACACTACACTACATTACACTACACTACCCTCCACTACACTTCACTACAACTACAACTACACAACTACACTCCACTACACTCCACTACACTAAATTACACTACACTACACTACATTCCACTACACTCCACTACACCACACTACATTGCACTACACTACATTACACTGAGTGACACTGCACCACAGATAGACAGATAGATAGATAGACAGATAGGCAGCTAGACAGCTAGACAGATGAAGGAGAGAGAGAGAGAGAGAGACAGAGAAATAGATAGATAGATAGATAGATCGATAGATAGATAGATAGATAAATAGGTAATTAGATGAAAGAGAGAGAGAGAGATAGATAGATCGATAGATAGATAGATAGATAAATAGGTAATTAGATGAAAGAGAGAGAGAGAGAGAGATAGATCGATAGATAGATAGATACATAGCTAGATAGATAGGTAGCTAGGTAGATAGTCAGAGAAAGAGTGAGAGAGATCAATCGTCTTTCGATCCATCAGTGGCTTCGCTCTGCCATCCCTGATTCACAACAACCAATCTCTCCTATAGGTTTCCTATTTTCGAAACTTCCGCCACCGCCTTGTGCGGTACTACTGGTACATGTTTATATTTACTTATTCAGATATTATTTGTGAACGGATCTTGTCTCGTCAGAAATCGTGCCTTCATTTTCGTCACATGTTGTCATATTTTCTCTGCCATGGTTTGTTCCACATGATGTTCTCCGGACGTCGTGGGCCGCCGCAACCAAGCGCATAATACCACTCGCAGTACACGTCGTACTTGTTCGGGCCAACTTTGCAGGGTGAAGCCTTCTGGGGATAGGCACACCCACGCGAGGGCCTTACAGGACAACTGCTGCCCCAGGGATTTTCGTAGACCTTGTCCCCAACAGGCCTGTAGCAGCAGCACTTTTTTCCAAAAGTCACGTTGGAATCAGATTCCAAGAGATCTGCACTGAGGTCTGTATTGTGCACTTCATGCGCATGATCTGCTCGAAGGCAGTAGCCAGACTGCATCAATGTCATGACCAGAAAGGCTCTGCGAATCGCCATCAGGGTCTGTTCAACCGGAAGGTTTTGCAGAAGAACGGGCGTCTGCTTTCAACTTGAGGAAAGGCGGCTCATGAACCAGCGGAAAATCTGCCTGTCTGTGTGACTTATGTGTGGGACACGTTTCATGCTAGCGCTGAGCTCAGCATGATGGTACAGACCGCAACTCCAGACTCGTCAACTCTTTTCTTCCGAGGCTCTCATCGCAGAGTTTGTCTTTGCGGATATCCCGTTCTTCAGATCCCCTCCTCTCTTCCACTTTTCATGGTGTCCGTTTCCCATAGTGTTTTGTCGGGTTGTTTCTCTGTTTGTTGGGTCTGCGTGGCTTGCCCCACAGAGCCAAGTGCAAAGAAAGCTATGGACACGATACATATCGAAACATCAAAGTATGGCAAACCACTACAAAGACACTCAATGGGGAAAAAGCACCCTCCAATTCCGATCGGAACATCTCTAAATTCGACCATTTGGATCCATTAAAATTTGGACACTACAAAAAAGGAGTCGGGATTTCCATGGATCTGAGGCATCTCTTGCTCACTCTGTCACGACTTGCATGACTGAGTCAATGTCCCACCTTGGTCACTGGGCTGGAAAGTAGGAAATAGATGGACATAGACGGAAATAGATGGAAATAGAAGGAAGTAGATGGACATAGATGAACATAGATGGAAATATATAGATGGAAATAGAAGGAAGTAGATGTACATAGATGGACATAGATGGAAATAGATGGAAATAGAAGGAAGTAGATGGACATAGATGGACATAGACGGAAATAGAAGGAAGTAGATGGACATAGATGGACATAGATGGAAATATATAGATGGAAATAGAAGGAAGTAGATGTACATAGATGGAAATAGATGGAAATCCGCCCGCACCGAAGGTGCTGGGGCGTGATCTTCCGGATGGCACTCGTAAAAGGTTACAGGTTTACCTGGGGGGGGGGGCATTTTTCGGCCAAAACCTCCTGTTTTTGATAGGTCGTGACGCTCGCCTTCAAAAAACACTGTAAAAAACAGTACGGAAGACACCTGTTCGTGAACGCGCCCGTCCAAAATCGGCAAGCGAAAAGTGAAAAAAACCCGTGTTTTTCAACTTTTTGACCTCAATTTTTTGGTTTGCAACATCTTTTTTTGCGGTTCCGCAGGTGGCCTGGCCCGGAGGCGGATTTTTGAGTTTTTGGACCCGTTTTCGGACTGATTTTCGTCGTTTTGTGATAGCAGAAACACTGGTTTTTACAGTGTTTTTCTGTTTTCTGCATGCTTGACGGCTAGCTTCAAAACTTCCAAAAACATCGTAAATTACGCTGTTTTATGTTACGGTGTGAATGAAAACATCGTAAATACCAGTGTTTTTTGACGTTGGTTAAAAAAACACTGTAAATTACAGTGTTTTTGGCCACCTGACCCTCAAAAACCATGGTATTTGCAGTGGTTTCTGCTTCTCACCGCGCAAAAACACTGTAAATAACAGCAATTTCGCCGTTTTTTCATGTTTTTAGTTATTTTTTGAACTGCGTTGGTCCGCTATACATGGCCATCAAATTCTTCGCGTTTTTTTTTTCCGACGATCAGTACTTTCGGATGTTTTTGGTCTCAATGCCCCTGCTGTGTGAGCCCAACGATGCGGTGCGGGCGGTTGCCGTCGCGAAGCGACGTGAATATATAGACGGAAATAGAAGGAAGAGATGTACATAGATGGAAATAGATGAAAATATAATATAGATGGAAATAGAATGAAATAGAAGGAAGTAGATGTACATAGATGGAAATAGATGAAAATATATAAATGGAAATAGAATGAAATAGAAGGAAGTAGATGTACATAGATGGAAATAGATGAACATATATAGATGGAAATAGATGGAAATAGAAGGAAGTAGATGGACATAGATGGAAATAGATGAAAATATATAGATGGAAATAGAAGGAAGTATAGATGTACATAGATGGACATAGATGGAAGTAGATGGAAATGGATGGAAATGGATGTAAACGAATGGACATAGATGAAAACAGATGGAAATAGATGTAAATCGATGGGAGCCGATAGAAATGGATGGAAATATGGAAATTAAATAGATGGAAATGGAAATCGACTCGCTTCAATGAATCACAAGCAGCCTTTGACAGTCTTGGGCTGCACCATCAGAACCTCACGACCACTTAGCCTCTCACTCACCATAGTACGTTTTCTTCTTTCCTTTGCGATATCTTCTCACGAAGGGAAGATTACCAACCTGCACTGGGACATCATCCGGTAACACAGCTGCAAACTCGCATCATGAAGATAAAGCATCACAATTCAATCGTAATTACAATAACACCATGATCAATTTAAGATATAACTTAACTCACGCCCTAGCCGTAGACGATAAAGGTGCTTCTAGGCGCGTCCAGAACATGTTTTAGATGGTTTTGGTCGGGCTGCTCTGGCACACGAATTGACACCATTTCCCGATGGAAATTGTTGTTTACTCTTACAATATCTTACAATTGGAGTATATTGGAGTCCATGATCGAAATCATGGAAATCATTACCTTGCCATGACATAGTCTCCCACCTTTTCGCGTTTGCAAAGATCGGCCTTGCAGCGTCAACGGCAACACACTTTCATCACCAAATCTGAGCCTGACTCAAGCAAACTGCCAAAGCACATCAGTGACTTGCAAATGCTTTTATGTTGTATCCTGATTAGTGGCTAGGTTCGCTATTGTGCCAAAAAAACAAATTATTCAGGGCTCCAACAATCTTTGGAAGGTTCACTGTTGTGGCAAGAAATCTTGGGAGACCATTTTTTTGAACAAAATGTTTGAGTGAAAAAACATTGCATTTTTTCTGGAAAAATCGTGCTTGTCTGCCGTCCCAAAAAAAATCAGATCGCTTATTAAACCCTGATTAAAGAATAGTTTTTCCACAAATTTCCAAGGCACTGGGCCATGAGAGGGTCCAATTCACTTTAGTATGTTTTTTCTCAGGGTTCATAATTTCTAATAATTGCAGCAAATTTTTCCAGAGCTGATCCTGGAGCCAAGAGAAGAAAGGCAGGCCTCTTCCCAAAGCAATCGCCAAATTCAAAGCCCAAGCCTTTCCCAAAAGAATCAGACCGCTTATTAAACCCTGGTTAATGAACATTTTTTACACAAATTTCCAAGGCACTGGGCCATGAGAGGGTCCAATTCACTTTAGTATGTTTTTTCTCAGGGTTCATAATTTCTAATAATTGCAGCAAATTTTTCCAGAGCTGATCCTGGAGCCAAGAGAAGAAAGGCAGGCCTCTTCCCAAAGCAATCGCCAAATTCAAAGCCCAAGCCTTTCCCAAAAGAATCAGACCGCTTATTAAACCCTGGTTAATGAACATTTTTTACACAAATTTCCAAGGCACTGGGCCATGAGAGGGTCCAATTCACTTTAGTATGTTCTCAGGGTTCATAATTTATAATAATTGCAGTGGACTTTTCCAGAGGTGATCCTGGGGCCGAGAGAAGAAAGAAAAACCTTTTATATACACATTTCTTTCTCTGCAATTTCTTTCTCTTTATCTTCCTCTTCCTGTTTCTCTGCTTCTTCCTCTTCCTCTTTCTCTTCCATTTCTTTTTCCTCTCTCTTTCTCTTTCTCTGTCTCTTTCTCTTATTACACTTTGAATAACGCAATCAGCATGCAACAAGGTACTACAAGTACTAAAAGTACTAAGCAAATATCACAAGTTCACCTGCAAAAAAAAGGTTTTAATGTGTTTTAATTAAATTTCAATTGTCGCCAATTGAAATCCATACTTAAATGCAGGATCGTATTTTTTTGGGGGAGGAGTTTTTTGACACCCAACGTTAAAGAGGGTATAGCTATTGTTTGAGGGGGGGGTACACACTAATCAGGACGAAACATTACAATATCTTACAATGCTTTATGTTGCTTCTCTTAGCTTTTCATTGCTTTTCAGAGGCTGCCCAAAGCTGTAGGATGCGTGGGGTTAAACACAAGCCGAAGTTGCATGCCGGTCACAGTCGACAGCTCCAACCAACGCCTTCAAGCAAAAAGTAGCTCTGCATCAAGTATTGAGCTTATTGATCTCCATAGTCTTCTTTATTTGTTTTCGTTTGAGGACCATGTCCGAAGAAGGGTGGTGCATAGTCATGCTCCTCCAGCAGAACTCGGCCCAGTCACTCCGGCCTCGCTGACTTGCTCGACCTGGCCAATCTGTAAACCGGTCGCAGCATGTCTCAGCATGTTTCAGCAGTGCTGGACGTTGTTGGCAACATTTGGCAACCATTACAGTACATTCTGTATTGCAACCATTCAAATCCTGCCAACTTTTGACATCTGACATACCAGCGCATCTGGCCTTGCGACCTACAGCTTCCCAGCGATCTCGAACCTTTTGACATTCATCTCCACGGTCGTAGCACTTCATGTCTTGCCTCGAATTGAAGTTGCAGGAAGTACTTCAGCAGACATCTGCAGACTGTAGACTACTCAAGGGGTGAGAAACAGCTTGTAGCTACAATCAAAATGAGCAACTGCTCTCATGACTTCTGCAGATTTCTGCAGACCAAGTAGTTGGCGGGGAGTGGAAAAGCACCAGCCACGTTGCAGATTTCCCTTGTTTTTGGGTATCCATCCTTGCGGCGCGGCAAAACTGAAGCTGCTGGATTCACATGTTTTCAGGATTATTCAGTATTCATTGAATTTCATTGAGACCACTTACTACGCTTTCCCAAACAAGACTTCTATACCCACTTAATGCGCTTAATGTGGATGGAGCACTTCGAAGATTGTCACTTCAGTCCTTGGTGGCCAGTACGATTCACACAACCTGGCAGCTGACGCTGTGACACTGCAGGTTCCTGCGTATCCAACACTGACATTACCTGAAAGATCCTAAAAGAAAATGGCTTGCAGCAGATGTAGTGACATAATGTGGTGTATAGCTCTGATTGTTGCCCTTTGAGGTGCAGTGAAGTTCATATTGACTGCCATGGAAAAGGGGCTCACAGAATCATCATCATCATCATCAAACTCCCACGCCTTGCTCAGCCTTGCCCAGCCTTGCTGTTTGGTTAAACTCGTAAGTGTTGCCGAGCAATGTGGCCAGCACTCGAGAAGGGCGAGGCACGGCTGTCCACGCATTTCCGCCTTGTCGCTTGAGGTAGCCGTGTCTAACTCTTGTCGTACCAAATGGTTTTTCAGTTCAACATGGTTCAAGAATATCAGCACGATAAGTTTGAGATTTTTTTAGATGTCTTCGAGACCATGAAGCTCTGTTGGACATGTTGGACATGACATGTTGGACATACCTTTACTGTAGTTTCGTCCGCGCCTTCCGCTGGAATGCTGCTCTTCCTGTTCAGCCCACCGAAAAGTCTCTCAACACATCCGCACCGCCCCTGGAAACAGCAGCTGAACGTGATCAAGTTTTGAGGACGAGGACGACCAAACCAGGACATGATATTGAGATACATTAAGTCCAATCAGGAGGCACTCTGCCCATCTCTGCCCATCTCTGCCCTCTCCTCAGCTGCTTCCAGTCCTTCATTGCTGTCAGCATCTTTGGCCTCGCAACCACCACAAACTGTTGCCGGGATCTTGCAGGTCAAAAACTGCACATCTGCTAGTTGGAATATGTTGGAATGAAACAAAAGCGGAATGGTTTCGAATGGTTTCAAACAGTTCCCTGCCCGATGCTTAAGGAATTATGAAACTTGAAATAGTTGCAGGGTTAAAGCAATTCCCAAGCATCTGCCACCTTTCTTTGCTTGTCAAACTCCTTCAACTCGCTCTTCCACCTGTCCTCTCCGACGCAAACCAGCTCACAAACAAGAGACTAAAAAGTGCGGACACACGTTTTGGACTTTCTGCTTCTCAGAATCACAAGTTTAAGACAAACAAGAGGCATGACTACGTGCAAATGAAGGATGAGGAAGAAACCTATCTCAAGCTTTTCTGCAACAAATGTGGACCATCTTTATTTCTCAAAGTGTCCGTTTGAAGTGGAAATCACTGCGCCATCACCGCGCAGTCCTGCATGGAGTCCCATACTTGCAAATTTCCAGGCTTGCCTTTGAGGTTCCATCTCATGAACACCCTCTTTTTATTTTTTTTCAAAGCTGTCTGTTGCTTGATTGCATCAACCCTCAAGGATGGTCTTAAATAGCCTCAATATCTACATGTTCTATTCTTGGCGTCTGAGGATTGATTGCAGCCCGTTGACTTTTGGATTCAAGAAGTCGCGGCCAGTTGTGGCTTTCACGTTTTCGAATCCTGGCACGGTCAACATTGTCAGTATGATACAAAATGGCAGACAAGGAAGCCCTGTCTGCCATCCAATCCGGACATATTCCTGACATGTTAGTCGCTTGTTCTTAGTTCTGCTGATCTCCATTTGGGTTTGTCTGAAAATAGGGTATATTCATGTATATTCCCAATTATAGCCATTTAATAGGGATAATGATCATTAACCATTGGGTTTAGGGGTACACTATTTTCAGACAAACCCATTTATAATTTGTGCCAGATCTGCTCTGCAGTCATCCGACCAGCAGAGGCCAATTGCCACGACCACCGCTCCGGGTCTGGGGGAAAAAAAAGCGGCTGACAGATCCACACATTTTAGGGAATATAATATTATTATATAATATTATTGGTATATTATTGGTAATATAGACTTGGAGGAAACATGAACAAATGGCAGGTTCTCAACCGATGCAGAAGAAAAAAATAGTTTGTAGATGTTTGTAGGATCACATTATTCACATGGGGCACATACGCTTAGCGTGGTGCAACGATGTGCAACATAATATCTTTGGTCAAATACCAGCGCACTATTATAGAAAATTGGGATAAAAAGGCCCGCCTGCAATCCTGAGTGATTCATCCTGATCTGAATTCTAGAAAATATCTCAAGTAAATCCCGTCTGTCGTGCCAGTTTTCATCACCTTCGCAAGTGGATGACTGTGGCACATTTTGACACTAGCTCCGAGGCTGGAACCAACTTCCCCAAAGAAGTGGAAGTCCAACCTTGGTTTATCTTAGTCTTAGGTTTCAAGACATTTCAAGACGTGCAGGGCTGCATTACCTTTTGATGCTTGTGAGACTCGGGATGACTTTCCAGCAAAATGACGAACTGTTCCAAGCATTGGCCGAGTTGCGCATATCGTTTTCTAAGCTGCGAATGGTCGCCCGACGCGGAGAAATTGAAGCAACAAGGAGAAACCTCGATCTTCTCATCTTGAACCTGTTCCAAATCAGCAAAATACAGAGACTATTATTGTGGGAAACGAACAGCATAGCAGTTTCACGGAAAGATCATCAAAGCAGGTCACCCTCTGTGAAACTTCCCGCAGAGGTGCCTTCAATGCACCCGGTGATGACCAACGATGCGCAAATTTGATGCTCAGAAAAATGGCCGAGCTATTCCTCAACTCTGCAGAGCATCAATTTCAAACAAATCAGATCACAATCAAATCAGAAAGAATTGAAAAAATACAGAAAGCGCATGCAACGCGCTTGCGACGAGAAAATAGAAAGAGCCGAGTCTCTGCGCCCATTGGGTTGCACACCGGACCACTCCAATTCCTTTGCATCAACCGATGTCAGGAAATGTCGTAATGTCAGGTATCTCCGAAAACATCAAAAAAAACATGAGATAAAAATGAGGCCCAAGCGACTCTCGTCCTGCGGGCTGAGTGCAAGAAGCAAGTCATCTGCGTTCCTGGTGCCGAGGACGCGAGGCATACAACTTTTATCAACTTGAATGTCCTTCATGCTGGGTCCGCTGAGACATTGGCTGCTTTATCTGAGTGACCTCTCTGCGGACGACCTTTTCCAAGGATCCCTCGGCACTGGAGTTGACAGCCAAGAAACTGGATAATGCATTTTGATGTACTTTGCCAACTTTGCTTTGTGTTAAAAATTATCCAAAATAGTCTAAAAACATCTAAAGGCGTCTGAATGTTCAAGTACATACGGAATGAAAAAGTGGGGTTGCGATTTACGACCACTGCGAATTTCACAATGCGAATGGTAGCCTGAAAAGCTTTCAGACAGAACCAGGTGAAAGGAGATGGCCAGGGCAGAACTAGAAGACAAATGGAGTTTGAAAATGTTTGGAACCTTAGAAACAGATGGCTCACCCTCTATCATCAGAAACATCCGTAGATCCAATAGAGCGGCAGCTCCCACGGAAGCCCATGCTACTGCTATAGAACCTCAGCCGAAGTTCTGTCTGAGGCAAAAGCAAAACTAGCAATGCCATGGGATGCCAAGACTAGTTCTCGAGAGAGCGACCACCAGCCTGCGATGCAAAAATATAAAAAATAAATGGTCACCCCTGAGCTGCTAGTGAAACTTTGCTTGCTGCGCTGGAATGCAAACATAATAAGAAATCACTGTGCCTTTCTTGATGAGCGTTGCAATTTCCTCATGATCGTAGCCAGTTGCCACTGCCTGCAAGGAAAGCACTTGCAAGCAATCACAATTTCCGGTTCTACTCGTGTAATTTGGGACAATCTCATGGACATAGCTAGGCAAGGAAGATCTGCAACAAATGCGAGTATAGAAATCTAGGCCAGGAAGGGATCTATATACTGTGAACCACAATTTGTCACATTCATTACCAAGAAACTTACCTGCCCCCTGTCCCCCCAATTCAATGTTGTTACACCGCTTTGCTTGCAAGGGCCTTCAAAAAAAGCCATTTCGGTTCGGATGCCGGCATGCATTGGTCAACAACATTGATCTAGGGGGCATGATGTAACGACATGTAGGAGGATGGCTGTTTTTTTGATCTCGGTATGTAGCAATATCGTGCAAACATATAGATTCCGTAGGATCCAAGCGCAACAACAATACTGTTGCACGGCCTCGTTTATTGTTCATTGTTTTTCTGACGTTGTAACATTTATAGCGTTGTCAGTTCGTGGACTCGATTTGCCGAAACCATGTCATGTGAACCCATGTTAAGTGATTGGATTCTTTTGATTCCTATTCAATAAAGTTCTGATGCTTTCTAGCAAATCCTTGGGTAGAATGTGTCTTCAGGCTATCTTTGGTCCAAAGTTAATAGAAACGACGTTTGTGCTAGCAAATGCAGTATATGCTTTTTTGAGTCTTGGCTATGCAAATACAGACTGTGTTTTTTCTTTATATAGTCACCACAGGCAAAGTCATGCGAAGCCCAAAATTCCAATTAAGAATTGCGTCATTCAGATTCATACGGCATCTGACTGAAATGCACTGGACGTTCCCGTACCCAGGTAGATACTGTACATCATTACAACTTACAAATGTGAGCAAGAAGCATTCAAGAGAGCAGTGACCATGTGGTTTGAGTATCAAGATTCAGTCTATTCATGTCCCAGCAATCAATATTCAGTAGGTTGACCAGCAAGACTAGCACAGTGCATCTTGCTGTTGTTGGAATCAATAAGAATTGTTATGAGAGCCATAGCTTGAAGGGCCATCCTGATGGATCACTTTGGTCGGGACAAACTCCGATGCCTTGTCGGACTTCAGCCGAGAAAGGGCCTCTTCCTGTCAGATGGGCTGCAAAGTTCAAAGGGAATTCCCAATTCAGAATCATGGCAACATCGGGTAACGCCGAGCGTAACGCCTGGGTCTTGAAGTCCTCAAAAAGGGTGTAGGAAGACCTCAGGGATGTACACGAGGGATAGGCCATGAATGTCATGTCAAATCTGGCCATCTGGAATTCTGCAGTCGTTCTGCAGTCGTTCTGCAGTCATTCTGCTCCAAAGCTGACTCCTCCTCCCTCTGTTGTCGGCTGAGCTTTCCGCTGCAACAACGCAAGCGCTAACACACATAGAAGCATTGACCTGGCGGATGCGCTGAGGCCAGTAACACATTGAGGCAAAGGCGTGTTAGTTGCAATGCTGCGATATTAAGATCGAGGCCGATGATCGAGGTACACCCATAAGATTGCAGTTCAATGGACATGGTGGTATAAACCATGAATGCATGACAAACAGTTACGTATGTTATACAAACAAAACCAGCCCAGAACTCTTTCTCCAGCGTCTGTTCCGAAACTCTGCAACCTTAGCTATCCTAACAGACTGAGCCCGCTGCGTAGGGAGGCAAGAAATACTCCGCGCGGATGCCCTCACTGAAGTTTATTCATCATCAGGCACAGTAGTGCGTGTTGGTTCGCATTCATTTAAATGGACTATGAACACCGCCACTTCTGGCATGTGGTTAAGGCGTGACTGCGACTGATTGTGTACCACTTCAAAGGCTGGCACTTAGTAGACTGACATACGAACACACAATGTATACAACGATGTCATCAAGTTAAAAAAAAGATACAGTTCTGAACTTGGCATGCTTTTGAAATCAAGTCATCAATGCGTTATCTACTTCCTGCTGGGCTACATTCCCTGCATCAAACTCTAAGCAAAAGCTCAAACCCGCAGCACAAATCATGTGGTCAGTTGAGGTCAATGAGAACTGGTTCCTAAACCGCAGGGTGCCAGCTCTCACAACATCAACTGCTGCACCAATCTGCACCACAAATCACCACAAGATATTACACGCATCTTACAAGCTGCCAATCCTATGTTTTGCGACCTGCAGGCTGGTCAATGGGCTGGCATGGAGTTCTATGGTTCAGTTCGTAAGTCAAGATCTGGCCGCTGCTTCTTGTCTGACATGTCCAACTCAAATGTTGCCTTGATGACACTTGGAAGCTTCAAACCATTCTATTTGTACATGCAACAGCTAAAAATGTTGCCACAGGTCCTGGCGTGACCTGGTGATGCTCCAGCTTCCAAGGTCATGGCGTCTTGCCTGCGGAACGGGTCCGTGTACTTTGACGGAAAAAACATGGAACAAATCTCTGGGAATTTAATTTGAATATATTTGAATCTTTGGGATATTCACCTAGCCTTTTTCAGGCTCAGTGGCTTTTCATCGGCTTCATTCAGTGTCCCTCCTCATCTTCCAAATAGCTTTGTCCGTGTAATCACTTGATGTGGTTTCAACTTTCCAATGCCCCAAATCATCCAAGAACTTGGACTTCAGCACCTCAAAAGCCCTGGGGTTGGTTGAAAACAGTATCTCTTGGGGATGTTGGCGCATTCTCCATCAACCGATCCTCGTTCATTTCGTTCACTGTTCTAAATATGCCTTTGAAAAGAACATCTGCTCAGCCGACTGAGTGTAACTTGGTCTCATCACCATGGTTTGACTGTGCCTCTTGTCCCCCGTTGGATCAGTGAAAGTCTTTGAGTGTTCTGTTGCTCCTAAGAATTGCAGTTGATTGGCTACCAACTTCAGCATGGATCACAACAATTGACTAATTACCTACCATTGATCCCTAAACATTGACCCAACATTGAAACCTAAATCTCCGATCATCTCAGATGATCTCCATATCTTTCCCAGATGAGTGGGCCAAGGCAACAAGATTCCTCCGGATCACCGCCGTGCCCAAAGGTGAAGGGTCAGGGTTCGGCTGTTGGCCATTGCAGCCCAACATCACCAAATGCCATCAAGGGCTCTAATGGGCTTTAAAGGTAGACAAAGGGCGTTTCAAGGCTGGTCAGAAAAAATGTTCAGGTGTCAAGTCTTTCGGATTTTTGAGTGGAAACAAAAGACAATCTTTAAACTACATAATAACATATACATGGTGGCTGGTCAAAATGTCTTTTCCCAGAAGTGTGCAAGAGTCGTAAATAGCTGTCACATATTGTCACATCCTCTCAATACCATGCCAATTCCACCTAATACGAAGAAACTGCCTTCCAACGCCAAGCCAAATGTACAAGTGAACTACTTCATGGGAATGTTAAAAAGTTAAAACCAAAAAATGCTAGCGCACTGCCAACGCGAACCTAGCGCCAAGCTGCAGAAATGCCGTGTTTAGCTGGGGGCCCGCTACATAATGAATCTATTGTCTAGAATTACTTTCGCAACTTGATTTTCTTTACTAGTGATTTTTGACCGGATCCCACTTGGATCACCTTCCTTGCCTCGCAAATCTCCGGCTGCAACAGCCCGGCCATGAGTAGCCATCGAGATCCCAGGGTGGGAAGATCTTGGCCACAAGAAAAGGGAACTTCTGGGGAGCTGTGAACGGCTACACTACACAAACCAGATCAAAATAGACACTTCTTTCTGATACATGCTGATATTGACAATCAAAAAAATCAAGGTCGAACCATGCATATCAAACACCGAAGTCGCGCAACCAGAAACAACCATGTTTTTCCATCCATCCGATTGCAGTCTGAGTGTCCTCAGGGCATGTAGATGTTTGAAATGTAGCAAGTGCTGCTTTTCAATTTTCGGCTAAACTGCCAATGAGGGTGATCGCAAGGAACCTGCTCGTGGGTTTCTTCTTCAAATTTCACTGACACGAGCTCACCCACTGAGACATCACCATAGGTCAACTTATTTGAACACAAACTGCCACTGAATGTGACTTTCAAATGACGTTTCACCCTCCCTTTCTCCAGTTTCGTACATTTTCCTGCTACTGTGTCTTTTCCCCAATACTTGCTCTCGTCACGAATCTCCTGAAATTGAGAAATGTATTGCTCATCCCTGGAACATTTGAAGTTCAAAAGCTCCTCTGTATTGTTCACATAATGGATGAAGACTCCGAATCCTTCACCTTCGCCATCATGAGTGCCAAAATCAAACGTCTGTGTCTGCTGGTAGTACTTGCTGTCACTGAGACGCTCCCTCTTGCAAAACACCTGAGGCCTTTTGAAAGTTTGGGCATCTCGCTTTGATGAATGGCTCAGCAATTCCAACCACACGCAGACCAGTGAGTGACCGGTTTCCTTACAAGGGTTTCTTTCTGGATTCTCCACTGGATCTGGTTGCAGCAAAGGCGATTTCAAGGTTTCCAGTAGAGCTTGGTCACCACCAATGATAAACAAGTATGGAAAAACAGCCAGGGCAGCACGATGTGCTTTGGCCACGACCATTTTTTTGAAGCTCTTTCCGCTCGTATTTTTCACCACTTTAAACATATGCGAAAGAACTGTGAGCTCGATCATGAAATGAATCTTCATGACTCTGATGAAAGGTTCCATCTCGTCAGAAGTGTCCATGAAATCAGGAGGTCGCAAAATGGCAAGGCTTGTGGCTAAGCTTTGCTCAATGGCAGCCCAGCGGTTGAAACTGGTGGCCTTTTCGGCTGCGTCCATGATCTTTTGCACTTGACCAGAAGAGGAATCGACGGAATCGATCATCAAATCACGCCACAGGTCATCTTCTTCTATAGACTCGATATCTTTCACTTGATCTTCAGCCACTTTCACTTGTTCTCCACCAACACGCAGAAATTCCTCCGCCACGACTTTGCGGCTGATGTCCCACATCTTCTGTTCGAGCCTCCTTGGTTCACATGAATCCCGTGGATGAACCTCTGCAAGTTGCAAGTCTAGGGAAAAACAACGACAGTTGAACTATATATGTTAAACTGGCACAACTGGAACAACTGGAACAAATGAACAAATCAAAAGTCTGACTTTTCAAAGTAAGATTCTGAAGTAGCTTCTCCAAGTTGTCCAATGCTTCTTCCGCATCTTTGGTGAGTTGTTTCAGGAGTTTCTCAGTGGCCTTATCCAGAATCCAACCCAAGGGCCCAGGTAGAGGGGCCAAAATCACTGCAGCTCTCACCAAGTACAGCCCCAGCTTTGCCGCTTGCACCGTTGGTTCCCCAGACCTGGACAGCTCTTGCAAGCCACCCAGGAGGAGCTCACTGGTCTCGTGGCAGGCGGATTCATCGACTTTGATCTCTGCCAGTTCAAAGCCCTGAGTGCAAATCCATTTGGCGATTGCCGGATTCTTCACATTTTCAGACAATGATGAAATAACATTGTCTCCATTCTCAGAGCACAACTTCGACTCCTTCAATTTATCCTTCAAGTTGCGAAATGCTGAAGCATTGGCCTGGTCAGTGTGATGTGCCTCTTCCTGCTTTAGCTGCTCACACTTCTCCGAGATTTTTGTTGGCCACGTATTTGGCGATGTCCTTTCCATCCTCCTCATCACTGGGCATTTCCTGCTGTATGGCAATGAGTATCTGACGACTGGATTCCAACGCACCCCGTGCAGTCTGCAAGTGCGAAACAATGCGTCTGGCGTCTCCAACTTCACAGCACGCCAAGAGATAAGAAGTAACGATCAATTTGGAAAGCAACATTGCTGCACAAAAATGTTGTATGGAGCTTCAAACAACATACGAAGGCCTTCTAGGGCTATTGCACCTTGAGCATGCTGATGACAACGGATCCAGTTGCAGCTGTGAGGATGAACTGATCAACATTTTGGATTTGGAGCATGCAACCAACTCAACTCTAAAAAAAGCGCACCACCCCTCCAGCCTGGCATTTGGAGATAGAAAAGTACGAGTAGCATCCTACAAGACTACAGGAGAACATCTCTTCATATCCCTGCGACAAGATTCTACGAATATCAGAATATCTGATTTGTATTATTTGGGGGTAATTTATGAGAAATGAATAGAAATGATGTATCCCTTCATGATCCCATGATGGAATTTTACGACCCTAGGGACCCTTTCTATCAATGTGGAGCCATTGTGAACTCTCAAGGCTGCAGACCCGCCTTTTCAGGTCCTGGAATTCCAAACTGGCAAAGCAGCGATCCACGCCTGAGACCCAATGAAATAGGCTGCAATGGCTAAACAAGGCTGGGCATTCCTTCTGGGCATCACTAAATGGATGAAATGGAGAGGTTTTAGCGGTTTTGGCTCGCTTCAAATATCTTCCAAACTTAATGACGTCTCTCAGTCTAAACAGAACCCACCAAATTTGCAACTTGCACGTTATGTTCCTGTCAACTGAAGTTGATCAAAAATTGCTATCTTGAGGTTCAACCCCCAAGCCAAAATTGGAAAGTACTGACAGGGATGTTCCAACTAGCCAATTCTGGATTCAAGTGGTGCTTTGTTTCTAAGCTGTAAAGAAAGCAACGCTGTCCATCCTGTCCACCAAAAGTTGTGGACGATAGTAGACGCCTGAACGACGCAATTTCCAGTTTGGACCCTTAGTGCCTAGTCCACCGTGGTCAGCACAGTGCACCGACTCGCAGCCCCGACAACCAGTCTGCGTGTGGAGCCACCTTGTCGGCACAGACCAGCCAGTGGGGTAAAATGTTCGAAATGGAGACTGATGGAGACTGCTGTGCGCACGTATCGGCCCTTGGAAAATGCATGAGACTCACAAAAATACCAGAAGAGCCGGATCAAAACCTTGCTGAGAAAAGGGATGGATGATGGACGAGGTGCGGGGACAAGGAAAAAAGACAGCACGCGCCTTGGCGGGCGCGTCGGTTCATGAACCGACGCTCCTGTCCACGGTCCTGAGGCAAAGTCGTGCAAGGCAGACAGGATATATATATATAATAAAATCGATATATATATATATAATATATATATATACGCACGACCTCTGAGCTGGGGACAAGGTTGGAAAAGGCGAAAAGCGGAGCAGTGGGAGCGGACGCCGCTCCAGGCTTCGCCTTAAAATGGCTTATGCAAAGCAGAAGAAGAAGAGAAGAAACGACAGTCAGTCCGTATACAATCTAAGGCAGGGACCGACGGCGGCTTGCCGGTGCCGGCATCCTTGAGGCAAAAGGAAGATTGGCCGTTGAAAGAAACACAAGGCCAAGTTGGCTCTGATGATTGGCATTTTGAGGTCGCGACCCCTCCAGGTGCTGCGCTACAAGGTGCCGCGCGGCGGTGCTTTGCCGCCTGACACACTCCAGCGACACGAGCGCGGGGCCAAGTCCCAAATTAAATATTCCCAAGCCCCGCCTTGGCGCGCTCCTTGTTGACCTTGTTGCGCCAGCGCTTCTCTGCACGCGAGAGTCCCTTGGCACCGGCGTGTCGGGGTGCTGCATGATGTATAAACAGATGGCACAGACGGACTGAGGCTGCAGCGCTGGCGCGCTTATTCTTCTCCGGCTCCATTGCCACGAAGGTACCACCGCGACGGCGCGGTGCCTGCACGGCCAAGACCAGGACAGTTTAAATTGTTCTGAAGATAAGACGCTATCAGCGACCCTGCCTTCTTCGTGGCCGAGCCGCCCAAGGTGAAGGAGGTGCGCGTCGCCTCGAAAGGGACCTGACAGGTGGCAAGCAAACTAATCGGATTAACGCGACGGGATGTTATCCCAAAACCATCCAAAACCGCGGGGCCTCCACCGCCTCCTGGAGCTCGTCCAGCAGTGCCTCATTTTGGAGGACGTAGTCCTGTCAGGACGGGATGTGGCAGCCGCCCTACTTTCCAAGCCCGAAAGCAAGCAGCCGTGCCTCCAACGGCACTGGAACCTGGCATGCTGCAAGGCACACGACGATTCAGGTGCACACGCCGGTGCACCATTCGAAACGCGCCTCCTCCAACGCAACGTCGGCCCAGCTGCCCTTGAACAAGGTCACGTCGCCAATGCAAGCCATTGCCTGGGTGACCGGCGATAGATATACAGGAAAAGAATACATAAGCGGAGCACAAAAGTGGAAGCTTTGATCTGAGGCGCGGACAAAGGAGCAAGGGCACTTGAAAGTCGCTGAAAGGCAGAAAGCTTTAAAGCTTGGAAATTGCTGCGGGCAGGTCACACATCTATGCAAAGGTTCAACATGCGACGGTATCAACATGGCTGATGCACTGCAGTCGACACATGGAAGCTTTGAGGCTTGGACGCGAGGCAAAGATCACGCGTGGGGAACGAGGCAGTGGCGTCGAAGGCGACGGGCCTGGCCCGGCGTCACAAAACAGGCAGAATTAAGCCTATAAATGGATAGTGACTTTACACCGGTGCATTGAGCGTTCGTACTGAAGGAAGGTTCTTTGCAGCATATACAACAGACATCACAAGGTGTCCGAGCGCGGCGCCTGACGCGCGGGGATGAATGCAGACCAGAGACGCGCGATATTCCGATACCTGAGCCGGCAGGCCGAAAGTGTCCAGGACCGCAAATGTTATACTGTTATAAAGCTGATGAGGAGAACAACAGGGGCTCTCTCTAACACCCCCCATCCCCTTTGTCTCTATATAGGTGGAACTTTGGTTATTTCTTATTCCCACTGCGGCCTTCTCTCCAGTGGCTTCAAAAAAGGGGTCTGTACCACCAAAGAAAAACAAATTGACTGGTGCAGACTAGTGCCGACTCTTGCAAGCCCCAGCGGCGCGGAGAAGAACGCCGAATATCGGAAGATAGCGCGCAAATATCGAATATAGCGGCAGATCGAATAGTGGCATCGAGAATAATAAATGTATCAATGATGCAGACCAATGCAGACCAATGCAGATTAATTGCAGCTAATAATGCATGCAGAGCTGCCGTCACATCCTCCATATCGACGCGGCTGGCGCGTCGGATTCGACGCACGGCCACGGCTTGGCCGTGGCAGGAAGCGAGCGAGGACCGGGAAGGCTGGACCCAGGTGATTCATGTGGATATTGCTGGACAAAGGCATTGCATTGCATTCATTCGGTATATACAGAGAGTATCCCACATCGCAGTGCTTAAAAAAAAGATGATATAGGCGATTTGTGCCCCGAACTGTGAACGCCCGCGGTAAAATTTCTCGGTCATCTGCTTGGGGGTATTTTGTATACTGCATACAAGCATTTGTCCAGCAATATGTCATGGCCCCAAATTATGTGTCGTAAACTGCAACAACATGCAACAAATATATATCATCCCAAAGCAGGGAAACCCAAAAATTGCAAAGCCTGGTTATCGAAGTGGCCTTCTGGGGCTCAACCCTTTCATGTCAACCCAAAACATCATGGCAAAAAAACAGGCATAGTTTCGAGATTGGAGGAAAGAGGAGCTGAACAGAAGTGGAGGCGAAAGGAAGGAATGGGGTGCGCCCTCCCTACACCGGGCCCCCAAGAAAGGTCGGCGTTCCACATCAAGGAACCTAGAAGAAAGACGCCTAGAGCAGGGCCACCTGCTCCGAGCATCCTTCCCTAAGGCTCGCTCGATGCTTCCTGCCGACCGGGCGCAAGAAGAAACAATTTTTGGCAGAGGTTATCATCTTTTCTTTCTTTTCTTCCTAGGGGGGGGCCGAAGGCCTGGGGGGAGCCCAAAGGCGTCCAAGGGGCAGGGAAGGCCCGAAGGCCTTGAGCCCAAGGGTTTACTCCCCCCTAGTCTTGACAATGGTCCTATTCATACGATGCAATGCCTCCCAGTTGGCTTTAAGTTCTATTGTAAAACTATAGGGTATTTAACATATATATATATACACATATGGGGATTAGGGTGCGCAACTGGGAGGTATTGCATTGCATGAGATTTACCCTAAGCGGCAATTCAATTTCGTGTGCCAGGAACTTTTTCAGATCCTTGGGTGCTCTTGCCAATTCCGCTGCGTTCTTCATGCCCGACTTGGAGTTGTTCCCCTTGCCGGGCTTCGCCAGGCCATCTCTGTCATCGCGCCCCGATAACCGGCGATTTATGCGGTTATTACTATATACATTATTATGTGTTAGAAAGGTTATTGGGGTGATTGTCGAGGAACTAGAACTAATATAATTATATATGTTATCTGGGTTTTACAATTCATAAAGACACATATACGGATGGACATGTATGTGTTTGGCCATTTTCCTATGCCTGTGCAAGGATTCTGCGAGGCAGTTGGCACTACGCCTGGTCACAAAAATCGATGGGAATGCCGACCTCTATAGCGGCGGGCGGCCAGTTGTGCCCAGCTTCAGTAGCTCTCGCTTTGAATGCGGATCCCTGTGTCTACAGCTCCAGGCGAAGAGAAAGGGCTCGTGGCTCTTTGATCCGCTTTGTTCAACGTGTGTCAAGCCGCCTTCTGTACACGCCGACTGGTTGATGACCTCCGGACACAAGCAGCCCTTTGGTGCATGCATGCGGCGAAGGTAGACGGCTCATATAGCCTCCTATACGCCCCATCGACCCACCAGAGACCACTGAAGGCTATATAGGGAAGGCCGCGCTAGGCTTTTTGTCCCCGAGGAGTGCATCTTCGCGTCCGACGCAAGCAGAG